TTTTTGTGTAGATTTGTTTTTTTTTTTTTTGTTTGGTTTTTGTACAGTGCCCTGAGATGACTTTGTTGTGAAATGGTGCAACATAAATAAACTGAATTCATATGAATTCATTTATACAAATATTTTGTAACAGACAAAGAACTGAATAGTTAAACTAAAAATTACATCTTGATGTAGTGCATAATATAGAAGTGCTAAGTTGTATGTTTGTCCATCAGTTAAAGGAGTAGGGGGTAATGTTATTTTTGAGATTTATATCATGTCGTAATGTCATTCCCTCATCAAAAACATACCCAGACTATTACTTTGACTCATTCATGCATGTTTGAGAAATCCTTGAACCTTCTGTGGTAGCCATGTGGAGCTGCCTAAACGCTTGCTGGTACAAAACACTGCTTATTTGTACATAACTCCTCCCTGGAGCTCAGTCTGCTGCTGAGCTATCACCCCACAAAGCATGCCTCCCTCAAAGCATTGTTTGACTGTGCTGGAGAGGGAGTGTCTGAAATGGTAGGAAGTTCTTAAAGAGGCAGAGGTCAATTCCAAGGCATTTAAATGTAAATTGATATATACAGCACTTTCACAACATTGAAGATAAAATAGCTACTTGATTGTGGTATAGAATTTAGCTATGTGCCTGGAAAATACACAATACCCCCCCCCCCCCACACACACACACAAATACTAATTGAAATAAACATTGTGTTGTTGTCTTCATCTGTATATAATTGGATTATATGAATATGTGTTGATTTAAATGGGCTGATTTCTGTTCTTGATTTATTTTCTTATTACCTTCGCCAAGGGAGAAGGTAATGTTTTCAGTCACGTTTGTCTGTCTGTCTTTCTGTCTGTCTGTGGACAAAATTACTCAAAAACTTGTGGACGGATTGTCATGAAATTTTTGAAAAATATGGGTACTCGCCCAAGGAACACACCAATAAATTTTGGTGATGTTCCGGATCACGATGCGGATACAGGAATTTTTCTTTTAATTCGAGCGAATCAGCCAGGCTATGCAAAGTGTCATTACGTCAGACACATGTCTGTAGGAGACAGGAAGTTAAGTCACAAAGTCGCTGGGACTACACATCCCAGGATGTCTACTATCGGTAAAATTGTGATTATTCTGTTGTCAACTACTTTTGGTGATGTTACATGCTGTCTGGAGACGTTCAAAAAGAAATGCGATTCTCTTCACGTTTCGGGAATAACAGAATACACCGACAGCGGTTGGAGGGTCCTGCTGCAGCCGAGTCGAAGCTGGTACCTGTGTTATACTGGACCAGTACCGGACAGCGGGAACAGCTGATCAACCATATGAGGTACCCCCTCCACATAAGAACTTTATTGTGTGATTGGTCAGAAGTTCGTGGGAGTGTTTGTTTGTGCTGAAAGCACTGAGATGCTGTATTTTGCTTCAACTACTCACTTCAAAAAATAAATAAATAAATAAAAAAATTAAAAAGGCGACTCACTCCCAGAGCCGACTGTACCAGGAAGCAGCAGTTTATAAAGATAGTTAAACCATTAAAAACTCATAAACGGGGATAAAACAGACATTTTACACAGTGGAATCTGACTGATAAAAACTTTGGAGCTTAATCCGGGACCAGTTTATGGATGAATAATGTCGGGTGACGAGTCTGATTTTTTTCTTCTTCTTTTTTTTTTTTTTGCATTGGACTCCACCTGGAAGAAACCCCGTGCATACTGCCTGCTTAAATGTTCGTTACGCCAGAACTTATTCGGCAAATGTGTTTCCATCTCTGCTTTTGTGCATTAACTCTATTGCAGGATGGGGTCAACTGGCCTTGGTGGAGGTTTGCACTCTCCGAGTGCTTCAAGTTTTTTTCTGTAATTGGTTTGGACTAAATCCTAAAAATCATATATAAACTAGAGTTTTGTTAAAAAACAACTTAATTAAAACAGAATTATATGTTGTAAATACATTTATTAAACACTAAATAAAAATATTTATCCAAACAAAGCTCATTATATGAAACAACAGAATTTCATATACTGGGGAAAAGAACCCAAAATAAAGATTTTTTTACTGTGAATTTTGTTAAATGACCCTAAAATCCACAGATTTAGTTGGTGGGGTACAAGCTGCACAGTGATCTTGTGGTTTCCAATAATGCCTTAGAGTCCGAAGATTTCCGGTTGGAAACTTGGCTGGAGAATATAAGGAGGAATTTTTGCTTGTTTTCCCAGCTTGAGCTTTCCCTGGCTTCCTCCAGCAGCTGGAAAACATCCTTATTGTTTTCAGAACACTTCATTTGTCTTAAAATTATTTCCACTAAGCATATAAACAGGTGTTAACTAGACACAGTAATTGTACATTAATGTCACAAAAGTACAAATATACCCAAGTGGCACCATTCAGGTACCTTATTTCACAGCTGTGCAACATACAAGTGTTGATTTGATTTAATGTAAGCCTGTAGTTAAAATTAGTCAATTCTGTTCATGACCTAAGACAGATTTTTATAGATAGCACTACCTAAATAATTCATTAAAATAATAATAATAAGTTAATATCTCTGAAGGACTTGCTTTTATTTCCTTTTTGTAAAGGAAAAGTTTACATCAAAGACAGATGAAGTAGAAGAAAAGTTGTTGAATATACAAAATGTGTATTTAATAATACTAATTGGCTGTATTTGAAAAATAAAGTTGTTGTTTCCTTCTTAGGTTTCAAGTCCACACTGAGTGGACAGCAGCTGTTCAGTAAGATGAATATCTGCTAAGAAAAAGCCTGAGAAACTGCTGACAGGGTTTGCTGTAATGTCACCAGAGAGATGAATGGAATACAAGCCAACTGCATACATCATGCAACCACATGATTTTAGACATTATTGACCACACTGGTTTAAGTGTTTCAGAATTTCCTACTGGTACTTTTATTATGCACAATTTTTCTTAAAACATGATATTTTGTTCTGTCAATCTTTATATGAACTACATTTATTTCTTGCCTAACTGATAGCATCATACTTCTGCTAAATGTCAAGGATCCTATAAGAACATTGAAACTGATTCTGTTTGGTGCGTTTTTCTTTTGAAAGAGAAAGTTTAACACAGCACACCTTTGGTCAAAATATTTTAAGAAGAGGTGAAATGTTCATAAACTCAACCATAGATCAGTGCCAACACTCATATAAATGAGCCTCAGCTAAATGAAAAGGGTTACAGCAACTAATACAAATGAGGCTGACAGGAGAGCTAATAAGTTTCAGGACATGATGAATTCAGGAGTGACAGGTAAATTTGTACTGGGCCACAGGAAAACAAAGGTTTGGCTAAACGACAAGAGTTGTGTCAATAAGGGAATCCAGCATAAACAGTTTTCCCAAAACAAATGTGCGAGTCTGTCCAAACAGGAGGATGACTCGCTATGGCAACCTCTGAAGAGGGAACAGCAGAAAGAAGAATAAGTGTGTATTTTTTTATGTAAAACTCACCAGATCTGTTCTGGGCATGTCCTGGTAGTCGGATGAGAAGTACGTTGCTGTTCTCCCAAAGCCACTGTCAGCAGAGACTTTGGGTGGCTGAGCATGCTGTCGGTACGTAGCACTCTTTGGCGTCCAGCAAAAGAGATTGATGGATTCACGGACGCAGCGTTCAATGTCAATTTCTGCACACAAACATATAATTAAAATCAACTGAAAATTACTAAAATATTGACAAAACAGTTATATACTGTGGTGTTCTGATGCATCTCAATGTTCCATGTTCCCCTCTGTGGAAATAGTTTTGTCTCTTCTCCAAGAGACTTCTTTAGTCTGAGGATTTACAGGTAAACTCAGCCTTATAAGCAGTACTTTCACATGGTGGACAAACAACTTTAACAATGACAATCAAAATCATTTGTTCATATGCAAAAGAGCAGTGGTGGGCACCAGCCCGCTAATTGCGGACCTAAATATTTCGTTTGCGCTTTAGCGGTCTTACTAATTTTTTATAATTCATAAGCGGATTTGCACTTTCTAAAATTTAAATGCAGTACCGCTAATACCTAACTATCTACCAGTCATCATTATCTTGAACAGCGGAAGGTATGGCTGTCAATGAATCACAACACACGTGATCTATCCAACAGCACCCCTCCCAGATAAACACACTTATTGGAAAGGTATACATCCATACTGACTGTTGCTTTCGGTCACGGTTCTCATTTCCCACAATACTTTGTGTCTGCTTACGTAGTAGAAAGGCAATGGTCAGAAGTCCCTGTCCCAGCAAAAACAGTTAACGTTTGTAATCCATACTAAAACTTTGTATGTTTTGATTTATTTTACTTTACAATTGGAGTTCTTTAAAAAAAAAGTTTAAACACTGGAGCTCAATACTTGACATAATTAGTCGAAGCAATCGGCCAACGGGGTTAGGGAAGCAGAAATGATTTAAAGATGTATTGCTGATGAAGACAGACATCTAGTGGTCAACTGGAGCAACAACACGGAAAACTTTAAAATAAGACCTTGCTCTTATTTTGAAGTGAAGATAGTTTCCTGTACTCTGTGCTTTTGTTTCCCGTCACAAATCAAATCTGTCATGTACCCAGAATGCATTGTTTCAGTTTTCCAATGAACAGATTTAAAGTAATAAATTACTTTATTGATGTTTCTTTAGTGAAAAATCTACAACAAACAAAAGAAAAAGACAAAGAAGCAGCCGAACTAGCAATCCTCAACAACTTTTTAATTTTTACACCAGGAGCTAAAGGTCTGTTTCAGGAAATCACATCCCCAGCAATCGGGGGTTGTAGGATTAAGCTATAAAAGAGTTCATACACTGCTAGTTGGCAGTATTGTGTATATATTGTATATGAATTATTGCCAGCTAGTAAGTGTCAGATTGAACTTGTGCTTTAAAATTAGCTTCTGCTAGTTTTTCTATGGCATAAGTGCTTTTGAGGTTACGGACCTAAATATTTTCATAAGCGCTTTAGAAATTGCGGAGCTAATTTTTGGATTAGCACTGCCCACCACTGCAAAAGAGGACCATTAGACTAATGATTGATCTTCCTGATTGCCACCTGTTGTTCTCAGAGGGCTGAGTCATACTCGCAATAACATAACTGGAAGAAGAGGACATGGAGGCCTCCATCCCTGTTTAACAACAAACTGTTCATAAAAAGTAAAAAGAAAAAAAATTGTGTAGGTCTTCTGGACGGGTTCTTCTCTAATGAAACGTGTAGATCTGATCCAAGATCCAGCCTGCCTCTGTGAGCTGAGTCAGTCAGCCAACACAGAACATTACCTACCACAGGTAATGAAAGGACTACAGGTCCAAGAGACCTATACAGACGACGCTGTCCTGTCTCTATGGACAGATAGGTCTGCCATCAGCCAAGATCTTTATGAGTCCTTGACTTGACTGAAAACCAATCAGATTTAGACTTAGTTCAAAAGTCTTTCCGTTTCCCATTGGATCCAAACAGTAAACAAATGTTAAATGCTATGGGAGTAATTAATTTACATCTGGTATGGAACCAGCGAGAACTGGTTCATCCGATCCTTGTGGTTTCAAATCTACCACACTCAATCTACA